CCCATCATTTAATCAACCATTATATCTCTTATAATAAATTATCTACTCAGTTTTATGCCTTTATCATAAATCTTCCTAGCTTGAAAATTCTTAACAATATCCAAGTTGTTTTAAAAATTATTGAATGAAGAAATGCAATTCAAAAATAAATTCAAATTCTTGAAAGAAATGGTGCGTAAAAGCTCTTAAAGTCTCCCCAAAAGGAAGAAAGCTACTGGATGCAAATAGAATGTGAAATATAAAACATACAGAAGTATCGACCAATACAAAGCAAGACTTGTGACAAGAGATTTCACTCAAATTTATGGTGTTGATTATCAAGAAACCTTAGATGTGAAAAAGCCTTTCTAAATGGGGTATTTAGATAATTAAGTGTATATGACAATTCCTCCTAAATTTGAGGATAAGAGTAATATAAGTCAAGTCTGTAAACTCTAAATATTTATATGGCTCAAAATAATCAGCAAAAGTTTGGTTTGACAAATCCACTACTAAAAAAAGGTATGGGTACTCTCAAGGGCAATTTGATCATACTTTATTCACCAAGAAATCAGCTAAAGATAAATCTTAATTTTAGTTATTTATGTTGATAATATTATTCTAATGAGAGACTATGAAGAAGAGATAAATAAGATAAAAAATGTCTTAGCTAAATAATTTTAAATAAAGAATTTTGGTTCATTAAAATATTCCATGGACATGAAAACAGCTAGGTCAAGGAAGGGGATATCTGTCTCTCAATAGAAATGTATCTTGGACTTATTAAAGGAAGCTAGGATGCTTGGATGCAAGCCTGCAAATACACTAATCAATTATTTAAACAAATGTGTGATTAAGATTCAACTCCTACTAACAAAGGGAGGAACTGATGGTTAGCAGGAAAGAAAACTCACATATTTATTACATGCTAGACTTGACATTTATTTTCCTACATGTGTTGTTAGTCCATTTGTGAATAAATCCTTAAAGGAGTACCTTGATGTTGTGCATACGATATTAATATATCTTAAAAAAGCATCTAAAAAAGGGCTATTCTTTAAAAATGGGATTGACATAAATACAAAAATTTCACTAATGCTGAATGGGGAAGATCTAAAATTGATCTTAAATCCACATGATTATTGCTCATTTATGCGTGGAAAGCTAGTTACATGGAGAAGCATTAAACAATCGGTTGTTGCCCAAAGCATTGTTGAGATAGAATTTTGAACTATGGTCCATGAAATTTGTGAAGATATATAGCTAATGTGTCCTTGGATATTTAAAAGTTACCACAAAAGGACCAATGATAATGAGATCTGACAATCTTATTAGCATGACTAAGCACATTGAATGATATATACTTTATAAAAGAGAAAATTGAACCAAGAAATTATCAAAATTAATTGCACTATATCAAAACAACAAACTGCTAATATTCTTAGTAAAATTCTTAATTAGTTGTAATTTGACAATCTAAATTTCAAGCATGGAATGACAAATATTCCCAGCTTGAGGGGTAGTATGAAAATCCAAAAATTTGAACATCAGATTGTACATTCAATTCTGCTACACCATCTAGCCAATATTCATAGCTCTTGCACCTCCAACACCACCATAGCAATTCATAGCTCTTGCTCCTCCCTTAGATGTAAATGCAGCTAACCAAGTGATTAGTCTCATTGGCAATCCTCCACTATTCCGCCTTCCACATGCAGTCTACCAACAGGTATTTTCTTATGCATAATAAAATTTTAAATGCTAAATTAATAGTAAAAATTAGATTAATTATGTTCTTATTTTTTTCCCTAATATATGCTCTCTCTCCTTAAAATGTTGTATCTCTTCGAACCAATACGATAATAAAACATATGCAGTATTCCTCTTACATTTTTTCAATATCTTTCTATCTAGGAATAAATATTCATTTCTCAGCTTTAATTAAAACTCCTCGAAATGCTAATGCGCTGGAATTCACACAAACGGAATTTCACTCATTCTACATTGATGATAGAATTATTCATTAGGTATCATAACGCTATACATTTCAATAAATGGTATTGTTGAAAAAAAGCTTTACCATTTATTAATTGTCCCAACTATATTGTTTGATATGAATGCTCCTCACTGCTTTTTGGGGTATGTAGTTTCAGGTGTATGCTATCTTATTAATCATATCCCATATTTTGTGCTTGGTGATATCACCTTCTCTATTTAAAATTCATTTTTTTCTCTAAACTATAATTTTTGGGTGTTTCTGTTGTTATATTTTTTCGACTCAATGATAAACATTAAACTCTCTCAGGCTATTCTATTCAATGTATCCTTTTGGGATACTTTTGTACTAAAAAAAGGTTGCTGATGTTTTCAACCTACTGCCAATTGCATATTATATGTACCCTCCATGAATCTATATTTATTTCTTATCAATGTCTTTTACCACACCATACACTTCCCATGTTTATTTTCCTCTTGTAGCTTCTCACCCCTCTTCTCCACTCCTACAGGTGTACACACGATGACCTCATACTTCTTCAGTAACAACTCCATGAATTTTATTTGAATCAACTAAACATCTACTTTCTAATGAACTTTCTAAGTTCATTTGCCGATTGCTTTTCGAAGTAGGGATGTACATAATATGGATAAAACAAAAAGTAAACCGAAATGATCTTATTTAACATGGATATGTTTGATTATTGGTTCAATTTTTTTTTTATAAATTGGTCAAACAGAAAAATTTAAATTATACTAAATTTAGTATATATTTATCATACATGTTGTATCTAGGAATTAAAAATCGATTTAGCATTCCTTATGATATTCAATTGCAATCTTGTGTGATTTGCTGTTGATTCTAATCAGATATAATAAAATCTCCATATATAAATTTGTCATGTCATGAGCACAAATCTTTGACCATTTAATCTAAGAAATATTTTTAATTTTGATTATTCCAAAACCAAAACTGAATAGATTTATTTTGGAAAATAGTTTTGTTGGTTTAATTTTTTTGGATTTTAAAACTAAAACCCATTGGTTCAACTAATCTATTAAATGAACTAGTTACTTAATGCACACTATACTTCGGAGAGCTAAGAGATATACTTATCACCCTATCCAATCTTTATATGACCTTCAATCACCATTTTATTGGTTTTAGATATTTTTCCTTGTCTTTATACTCTGTTTCTATGCCCAGGGTATAGTTAACAAAGCTTGTAATGTCATTATCCTCTATTTATATGCCTTGGGTATACTTAACAAAGCTATTTATGGCCTATAACAGCCCTCAAATCCTATTTCACAAAATTTACAAAGCTTTTGATGAGGTTGGCCTCCTGAGTAGCATTGTAGATCACTCTATCTTTTTCCATCATACTTCATTTGACTCTATTATCTTAGTTTATGTCCTGGACATTTTACTTACCAGGAGTGATAAAAAGAGTTACTAAAACAAAAAACTATAAAGATCTGAGTTGACCAAAATATTTTTTAGGGTTCAAATTCACGTACGACAAATATCGAGTTTCCCACTAAAAAAGAAAATCTACACCTGATCTTTTTAAAGAAACCAGGCTTTTACGTAGCAAACTTGTTGACACTCATTCATCCTCCACAAGCCGACAGTGGAGAGGAAATTTTTATCTCATAATTGGATGAAAAATATAAACATCTTACAATCACCAGACCATATCTTATTCATTGTTGAATTAGTGACTTGACATGTGCAAATTTGGAAAGAAAAAATGAGAGGCAATTTTTAAAAACCTCAACTTAGGGGTGTAAGTGAGTGAGTCGAACTTATTGAGCCACGAGTTCAAGCTTGAGCCTATACTCAAGCTCAAGTCTGGCTCAGATCAAAATCTCGTTGAGCCACTCGATTAATTTAAAATATATTTAATAATTAATTTAAATTATCTTATATAATATATTTTAATAATTATAAATTAATCCTGTATTAAAAAATAAAAATTCTAAAATAAATGAATATTTTAATTTAAAATTAAGAAATTGAGCTCAAAAATCGAGTCGAGCTCGAGCTTTCTAAACGAGCTCAAGCAAACAAGTCAAGCTCGAACCTAGAAAATTTTTTAACGAGTCGAGCTCGAGCTCAATAAGTGAAAAATAAGCATAGCTCAATAAGGAAGACACTCGACTTGACTCGTTTACACCTATACCTCAACTATATAAAGATATCTCCCAAAAGAGGATTGTTATACACAAATCGAACTCCTGAATGTTCTCCTATGCAAATTATTTTGGCTTAGTTGAAGACAAGAAGTTAACCTCGGGATGTTGGATCTAAGTTGGGTGCAATTTGGTCATCTAAAAAAGCAAGAAATAGACAATTGTTCCCAATGCTGAAGTTGAATAAAAAGTTATGACTCATCCTACATTTGAAATGATGTAGGTAAGAACTCTCTTAGTACAGTTTGATTTTCCCATTACTCAACCAATGACATTGTATTGCAACAATATTGTCGTCATATCATTACCAACAATTTTGTTTTTCATGACCGTATTAAACATATTGAAGAGCATTGTCAATTCATTTGAGAAGATATATTGCCCAAAAAAATTATTACTCATGCATCCCATTCTAAATAATTGATAGATATCTTTACCAAATTGTTAAATCATCTACTTTTTTATGTTACGTTATTGGGATATCATTCTCTATTTATTTCTTTTTTTAACTCTTTTGCATGCCTATTTATAGGCCAAAACACATTTAGTACAAATCCAAAAGTTTTCCTCCTTCAACAAGCTCATTAACGAACTTCAGCTTGGATAAACAAACTAAGCCAAACAAGATCCCAGCTTGTTCATGCTCAGTTTGCCCGTACCCTTACATTAACAAGGGGCACTTAATCAAAATTGCTTGGATGGTAAATGTGAATTCTCAAAAGAGATTAATAAAAAAGGAAGGAAAATTGTGAAACTTTGCAATAATAATAATAATCGGACACAGGCACATGAAACACCAGGATAGAATGGAAATATAAGTAAGGAATTACCCTATGCTCATTGATACTCCTATAGAAGCTAGACGAGTCGTGTTGCATGGAATCTCCAACATAGTAGGGCTCTGAAAGATGAATAATGAAGGATTTTTAAATCAACTGGTTATTTGGATAAAAATATATGCATTAACACATATAATTTAAATATTATCTTGCATATCAGAAATGTTGAAAAGGTGGAAATAGTCAAACGAAGGAACAAAGTGCAGGTACATGAAAAGAACAGTGATATCTACAAAATGTATGTAGAGACTAGCCAGTGCAATTACATTTATTTAAGTCAACAAGTTTCAGTTGAAGGATCGCACAAAGTATGTTGATGCTACAAGAGGGACATAACCAATATTTGCTGCAAATAAATACCTTATTTGGACACTACTAAATGCAAGTATAACAAATCTTCTTGAACGAAGTTTTCTTGTGCTAAATTTTCAAATTTCGTAGAAAGTATTTCTTGAGTGAAGCTTAAATATCTAAGGACGACTAATATAATGTTTCTGTCATGTAGACTAAGTGAAGTTAAACGGGGAAATGTTTTTGTGTAGAAGGTTGAGTCTAATTGAACCTCATGTTGCCAATTGTTTTAGGTTGTCCACTTGTTAGTCAAGTAAGGAAAGGCAAAATATAAGCGCTTGGATAGATGGCTTTGTTCTACCATTGACAGAGGAATACGATATACAATAAGGTGCATAAAAAGCCATTTACATTTATCATTAACAAAATAAGAATAAACATCTTGAACCAGTTTCTTATATGCAGACTGCAGTATAAGATTTATGAATCACGAAAGGAATATGATGGATCTAACAACCACAAAAAAGAATATCTACTACAACATACAATCCGTAACTTTAGGTTGCTAGAATACTAGAGGATCCTTAATAAACAACTTGAAGAACATAGGCAAACCATGAAAAACAAAAAGATCGAGCTTATAAAGCTAGATGAAAACTTTAACGCGCATAAAGACGTAAGAAGTACCCAAAAGAGCTAAAAAAAAAATACAAATATAATCACCACAGCAGAATAAACTGAGTTTTCAAGTATTACCACATTTTGAATCCCGAACTGGTGAGTCAAATGCACCAGGAGGAAGGGGGTCAAACTCAAAGCTAAGAAGAGGGCCATCTTCACGATAATGCCTTCCTAGGTTCCACTTAAGTGCAGAAATAGCTGGGGAATCAGTCTCATCTTGCAAAAATGAATACCTTGGATTCACCAGATGATCTTCGCTCTTTATGACAGTGTTTTTGTTGCTCATCAACAAGCTACTATCATCACAAAGTTTGTACCTAGAAGGTTGTGCAACGTAAAGGTTCTCATTACTTTGTAAAAGGCTGCCTTGAGATGCTGAATTACCACCTGAAGATCTATCTTCTGCCACATGATTATTTCCGATATGCGGATGTTTATTGTGAGCTTCACATGCAAGTGCATCAGAAGAAGATTTATAAGCATAATACATTTTACTTTCTACTTCTTTAGAATCAAGGTTTCTATCCACTTGTTTGGTACTGCTACAGGATTCTTGTTTAATCCCACTAATGAGATCATGTATACCACTGCTAGAAAGATTTTGTTTTCCATTTGTATAAATTTCACCTTGCAAAATCTTCCTCTCTTTCAGTCTTCTGTGGCAGAACCATCCAGAAACCTGCTTTTCAGAAAGACCTATTTTCTTAGCAAATTCCAATTTCATTGCCTCACTAGGATACTTGTGCTCTGAAAAAAGAAAAATATCTTATTAATACAAAAAAACTACTAATGAAATTTTTTAAAGGATATTCCCCATATTTTCTCCACTACATTCTACCGTGAAAAAGTCAGTAGCTGTACCATTGTAAAGTTCCTCTAGTGCCTCAACTTGCGCAGGAGTCTTCAGTTTCCTCTTTTGTTTTTCATGAGAACTAGTTTCCCCTTCCTTCTGCATAGCTACATGAGACCCTGTAAATAATGTTGAATTATCAAACATATTACTTCTACGGTTGAACCTCTGCCAAGGTAGACCTTCCTATGTAGTTGCAAATAGTAAAATTATAAACAGTGAGACCAATAAAATATTGTTAAACTATCGATGCTCAAAGGCCAAATTATTAATCCTTCTTGTAATTCTATGGAATGTAATTCCAAGGCATTCATTAATTTGACAGAGTTGTGTGCCATTACAAGGTACTATTTTGCACAAGATAACCTAAGTTGAAGAAAAGCTAGAAAGAGTAAAGATTTCGTGGACAAGTAGAAAAACTCGATAAATTGGGGAGAAATAAAATAGAGTATTAGAGATCAGATTTTCATAGGAGTAAAATGCACCAAACATAATGAAGACAAGTGAGGCAGCAGGCGTGAAGATCGTGGACTTAAATATTTCATGAAGAGGAAGAATTATAAAGATAAAAAAGAATATATTGAGAAATGGAGATGAATGAATGCCTCGAGAGGAGGGGGTTTAGAGATTGAGAGAGAGGAAAAGATCCACATGGCTCGTGGCAAGAGAGAGGAACCAATCCCCCAAAGGGAATGCCAAAAAAAAAAAACATTTTCATTATTCCATCACCAACCATTTGAATTATGAATTACATCTGAAAGCCTTATTATTTATAATAGGAGCCATAAATGCATAGACTTTCTAACCCTATTATAATTAAAATAATGACATGTATATCCAAAATGATAAATGAATATTTTACTCATAATAATTGACAAAATGACAAATAAGAATAAATGGCATAAAATAATGTACCAAGTAAGATTATATTGCCACAAATATGAATCAACACTCATTATTAGAAGAAAATGTTTGGAATTGTATCAATTCCATAAAGCTACGAAGAATTCTATCCTAAAGAATTAAATTGTTATTGGAGAAATAATTGGATGCCCTCAATAGTATGACAAAGCCAGTGAAATTCATCATGACGAAGAGAGAGAGAAAAAATCCAACTTCACAAAGAAGTGACAAACACAAAATTCATACCGAGGAAGAGATAAAGCAGAAAAACAACATTACCATTAATAATATCAGTTAAAGATTCATCAATTCTTAAGAACATTAATACTGCTCTAAAAGCTTGAAGATTGAAGGTCTTCAAGCACTAAATGAAAAAAATGGACAATTTTTTTCATTTAATTTAGTTTGGTTCATCGAAATGCTTAAAGTTAAGGTATGGTTTAGTCTGACAAATTGATTGGTTGGATTGAGCTTCATTTGATTGGGTCAAAGATTAGACTTAAGTTCTAACTGCAAAACATTAGATTAAAATGACATCAATTGGATTGTTATTCTTCTCTATCTGAAAAGGGGTCAGCTATCAATGTAGAAATGAAGGGGGTAACTTGTATTGTTTTCAAAAAGGCATAAAAAGGTGTAAATCATCTTCTCCAACCGATAAGGAGGTCATTTAGAGTTTAAGGATTAGTTTATTTTTTTAATTTGAATATAGTATGTTGAGAAAATATTGGTGTATTTCACTATAAAGAAACAGGCTTGTTTCTTGACTTATGTGAAATTAGTTATAGGTTCAAATATAAAAGGACATTAAGGAGGATTACGTAGAGCTAGTTAGTTGATGTGGAGGAGAGAAGGTGGGGAATCTCAGGAAGTGTGCAAATGTTTATTATTCATGAATAGTAAAAGGGGAGGCATTGAGATAAAGATATTCAACTAGTTAGTTTTGAATCAGGATTAGAATTTGAACTAGTTAGAGTTTGAGAGGTTTAAGAAGATGAGGAGACGTTAGAGATTCCAACTTGAATTGGATAAAGAGGAAATGTATTTACAGCTCTTAAGTCTTATGGATGTGGATGAATGATATGGTGGCAGGAAGTGCCCACCATGAGACGAAAGCATCATTAATATTTAGCAGGAAACAACTAGCATTTTATGTATTTTCCGCAAACCAGTGACATTTCAGCAGTAAAGCAATTCATACATGAACTTTAAGAAATGAAACTTTACAAAGGTGAGATGAGTGGTTAGCAATGATTCTAAGAAGTGTTTATGGGGTGAATTCATGTTGAATGGCATGGGTGAAGGGAAAAACAAGAAGCAATGAATATAAAAACATGGAAAACAGGAAAACAATTTGAAATTATCCTGAAAACATAAAAAGAGGAAACCACCAACCACTAGATCGAGTGGTATTTCTGTTGATCTCCAAAGTAGAGTTATAAGATTTAAATCATAACAAAAATAAAAAAATAAAACCATAAAAGTTTCTCTAATAATAATTGACCAATAGCATGATAACAAGAGTAACGATCATGGTGAGCTAGGATATTTTGATTGTTGAGGAGAAAAATAATTGGCACGGAGGAAGAACAAAAGGAGAGGTAAAGAGAACACTAGATGAGAAGAAGAGATAAATGAATACTTCAACGGAGAAAGGCATGAGGTAGAAAGAAAGAGGAAGGAAGCCTAACGACTAGAGTTAGAGGGAGGAATTGATTCCGAAAGGGCATGGAAAAAAAAGGCCTTTCTTTATTCCATCATAAGTCATCTGAATTACATCCTAAGATCATAATTGTAGTCATAAGCATTCTAACCATACAACAACAACATCATCAAGCCTTTATCCCACTATGTGGGGTTGGCTATATGAATCTTTTTTATTCATTGTGTCCTATTAAGAGTTAAATTCTCATTTAAATCTAATACACAAGGTCATTTCTGATACTTCCTAACCAGACTTTTTGGTGTACCTCTGACCTTCTTAACATAGGCTAAATCTAATACATCTAGTCTTATAACAGGATAAAGTCGACATTTTATGTGACCAAACCATCTACGATGACTCTCTCTAATCTTATCCGCCAAAGGAGTTACTCCAACCTTTTCACGCATATACTCATTTCGTATTTTGTATCTAAGTGTAAATCCACTCATCCACCTAAGCATCCTCATCCTTGCAACACTAACTTAATGTTATGCTTTTCTTTTAATGGTCAACATTCTGTGCCATAAAACATTGCAGGTCTCACCACCATCTTATAGAATTTTCCCTTAAGTTTGAAACTACTTTTCTATCACACAATAGGCACAACACATTCCTCCACTTCAACCATTCAACTTAAATTCTACTAATAATATCCCCATCTATTTCACCATTGCTTTGAATAATAGACCCGAGATATCAAACGAACACTCTTTTTAATAACTTACTATAACACATTATTGACCGCTTCAAAATCGACCATGCCCGCAAGTCCATCAACATAATAAAATATGATAAGTCCATATAAGAAATATGTGCATAATCTTCAAGTCATGAACTACTAGTGCAAACACTGGTGAATATAGGAGGTGGGTAACCATCGAGCCACACTTCTAGCTGAAGCTCTATTAGTGGTGAGGGAAGTGGAAAACATTCGTACACTAGGTCCTTTGTGTCCTGCAAGTGTGGCAATGTAACTGGAGTTATACTAGCAAGGTCTCAACTATCTATAATAAGAATTAAAGACAATATAATAATTAGAGATGGAACAAGGGAGGATGCTTGGATTTCCAATTTAATTAAGCAAAGAGCTGAGCAGGTGCTTAGGTTGTTGGATGGATGGACTACTAGGGTAGGAGTGCATGAGTTGATGTCCATTTGAATCACATAAGATGCTCAAGAAGATGCTTGTCATTTGTTAAGAGCTCAAATGCATCGCAAAGCACTTGCCATCATCAATGAAAAGTATTTGGTGTGGTTGGGTATGACTGTTGATGAAGAAAGAGGTGAGGAATTTGCCTGCGAATCTCAACAAGAGCACCAATTGTTATGACACTTCCAAATCATAGGGATAGATGGTGATTTGAGGATGATGGCAACTCTTAGGAAATGCAGGATTGATAGAAGAGATGCGAGGAAGAAAAACATCACAACAAAAGGAGATTATTCATTTCAATTTTTGATACCCTAATACTCCAACAAGACAATTATTTATAGTATAACAAGACTCTTAAGGGTATAGTGGTATACTATAACATCCACATTAATCAACTAACTCAATTTAACTATCTATTATATCCATTAACCCATACGACCCATTACAAATGCCCAACAAAGGATCACTTTATAGCCATTTATTTGTTTATCCAACTATGAATAAAAAGGTATCCACAAAACTTATACTAAATTTTTGCAATCAATCATTTGGAATTCCCAACAAAAACCACCCACTATAATCAATTAACTCAATTTAACACCTATCACATTTATGAACCCATAAAACCAATTACAAATGCCTAGCAGAGGCTCTCTTTAGAGCCTTTTGTTTTTTGTCCAATTATTAAAAAAAAAGTATAAAAAAATTTTGTACTACATTTGTGCAATCAATCATTTGGAATTCCCAAGAAGAAAATGCTATGATTATAAACATATGAAACATATTCTATAAAAGAAGGGGTCGCCGCTCTATAGCGGCTTTAGAAAGTAATTTATTCTGGGTATGACCTTCACAGCTTTCTTATTCCAGTATCATTTTCCTCAAAATCAACACATCGAAAACCCTGACCCGATATCATAAATGATGATCAAGTAAAACCGATGGTTAGAGCACAACAGTGCAAACGCCCATTTCTCCAAGAGCTCCCACTTCATGTCCCTTGAAGAACAGAGCAGCAGTTATCAATGAAGACTTTCTAGGTCATAACTGTCGATCGCGTTTCAAGCGAAGCACATTCCAATTAAAAAAAAAAACATTAACTGAATAGAACCCGCTGCGCTTCAAATTTAAGATCCGAAAGTTCAGCTGATAAACAAGTAAAACAACTCAAATGGGGAACACATTGAAGATAAAAACATTGCCTGCGATCAAAACCGATAATCCCAAAAATTTATTGAGGAATCAAAATACATGCATCAGGAATTACCTTCCATGGTGGAGGACGAGCGGCGAAAATCTCAGAGTAATTAATCTGTTCTAATTCTCTCAAAAAAGTTAAAATTTTAAAATGATTCTACTTTTTTATTTAAAGATTTATTCTTACAGTTTAATTACAAATACTTTCTCAAAAAACATATTTTTGTAAAACATATTTAAATTTTATTATTTCGTAATTGTAATTTTATGTTGAAATTTAGAAATATATATTTGTAAATTTATGTTAAAATTAAATAATTTTATTTTATGAAAAATAAATTAGCATAATCATATAAAATAGTTTTCAAATTTTGTAATATGGCTATTTACATATTTCACTACTTAGTATGAACTTGTGGCATTGGACTACCAATTCATGAGTAAGAGATTACATAGATCCTTAGGTGGGTAAGCCACAAGGGCAAATGAATATATATAGATATATTATAATAATGTGAATTCAAGAATTTTATGATTTTATCTATTCAAAGTATTATTTTAAATCAGATGGCTTTACGACTTTTGGGTAGATTAGACTGTTATGTTGCCAACTATAAAATATCAGCATTTTGAATTAATATAAATCCTTGGTATTAAAGAATAAGAAGAAGAATAACGTAAAAATGATGCATAATTTTTTATATTAAAATTTTGAAAAAAAAATTATGAAAATTAGATTAATGAGTTATAAAAGGTTACTCTTCCTCGAACTTGAATAAACTATCAATACAAGTGAATGTTGAATGTATGTTATTGCTGTTGTCTTCGATGTTGTTGGCATAATAAGGTCGAGTATTATGACAATTATCTCTTATGGGAGGTCAAGATGAGACATTTGTAGATGAACTAAGCAATGCTCGAAGGTCAAGGATGTCATTGAGGTGGTCAAGACATTCCTCCTTATTAGTGGGTGAAACAATGCATGAAAGTTAGGGAGGTATTTGAGCGCTGACAAAATAATCATGTATTTGAAAGTGAAAAAGATGCAAATTTGAAGACAACAAGTGGGGAGACATGATAAGGTCATGGAGGTGGTTGAGTGGAGTTAAGACAATCAATTTCATGGAGACGGAGATATCACAACCTGAAAACGATGGGTGAAGCAATATAGGAAAAGTTGCGGAGGCGACTAAGAGAAGCTAAGATGATCCTACTTGCAGAGTTACATATGACACAATTTGAGATAATAAATGAAGGACTTAAAAGACATGGCCACTACAGAAAAGTCAGTCTTCTTTGGTGGAAAATTCCATTGCAAAACAAGCAAAATCAGCTGCAAAATATGATTTGCGACAGGATATATCTCGACGCTAAAAGTCCATCGAAAAAAATATTTGCTTCAGACACAATCCTTCATAAATATTTTGCGGCGGATTTATGATGGATTTAAACTTAAAAAAATACAACTTGTTCATTATAGTTATCCACCACAAATCCATTCTTATTTGTGATGAATTTGTAGTGAAATGTCGCCTTTTTTTTTTTGCAGCGGCATTACATGGGAAAAATTTCCCGTAATTTACGGTGGTATTGTGGCGAAAAAAAATCCGCCACAATTTACCATAGATTTTGGCAACAATTCTGCCACAATTTACAGCGAATTTGTGGCAGTAATTCAACCGCAATTTATGGCGGATTTGTGGCAAAAAATTCATCGTAAATTGCGGCGAATGTTTTAACCACAAACCCAAAAAAAAATGTGTTGTATTGTTGTTTGCGGCGGAATTTCTGTTGCAAATTTGTCAGAAACCTATAGCATAAAAAAAAAAAAAACAGAACCTTATATCAATTATCATTCTTTTCAATAATCACAATCAAAGAAGTTTTAAAGTAATAATTAATAATGGTAATATTTTATCAAACACTGCTACAATAAACATATTGTACAAACTGTTTACAATTATTTTACAATAATACATCACTGTTATAATAAATATTATTCTTAATATCATAAAAAGCAAAATGTATCAAAAAGCTAAGACAATCTAAGTAGAATCTATATCATCACTCTCCTACTCGATCGATGTAGGCGCAGACTGATTTTCATTAATATATTCTCTCAATCTCTAAAGTTCATCTTATATCTGCATATGCATGTCCACTTGTGATTTTTGAACATGCTCTAATTCTATTATATATTAGGTTAATCACATGTTTGATATACAAACTCTCCTAATTGTTTGCAGAGTAGCATAGGTTTGTGAGCTTAATCCATAAACTCATCTCTTCTACCTTTCCGCCTATCGCCTACGACCAAGTATGGTAGTCATAAATATCTATGAAACTCCTAAAGGATTCCTTACTATATCCAGCCTAGCTCTCTCGTATATGTGTATACTAATCCTACAAAATATAACATAAAATTAATCATCATATAATCATCACTTACAATATTTCTCTAAGTATTGTAACATTATATTCTTACATTGGCCCTCTTCGCTCGCTCGTTCGTTCACCCACTATGGTCCTCCTGACTCTTGTAGGTGTGACTTTGTAACTCAACAGCAATGGATTCTTTACCTAGCATCTCCTTCTTCAATATACTTAGATTAACATACATTACTAAATAAATTATTAAAATATGTTAAAATTTTACCAATCATCGTATGTACTTAGTGTGTGGAACTGAACCCCTAGTATGAAGGGAGCTAACTAAACCCCCGACATCAGAAGATCGATTCTATTTATTATGCTCCCTCCTCTTTGTATAATTTGGGCTGCCCCAAGCACAGTTGAAGTCAGCACATACATTCTCTTCAATCAAGAGCAATCGCTCATTAACACAATAATATATTTTTATAGCTGTCAAATAAAGCTTGGAAATCATTTTTTTAGTATGGTATAAATCTATTAAAATATTATTATTTGTCAAGTTTGTCCTTTAAGTAGGCCAACAAATTGATTAAATATTATATTCTATCTTTTTACTTAAAATCTTCGCATCAACAAATAACTCTAAGTGAGTAGTTCACTTATTCCAAATTTATTGTTACATAGTGCACAATAAATTATAGAAGTTTTGTGTCTCCTTATTTGGGATCTCTTTTATATATAATTGAAACTGTAGCATGGTTGCATCATAAATGAAGTCCTCCAAGCTCCTAACTTTATCTTCCTTAACTATGTTAAAATTTGTAGACTGGTCGTATTGAGTCAAAGTGAGATTCACACTCACCATATGAAGTCCAATACCAATATTCTAGAATGAATCCTCTGTGATATAGATTAACAATAATTTTTTTTTAGTGTAAGGTAGGCTTGATTTTTGTGTTTGGAACATGAATAATGGAACTTTCCCTCTAATATAAAGGAGGATAATTAACAACCTATTTAGATGAAAAAATTCACTCCATTGATGAATTCATCTATTAAAGTCTTGCATCCAAGCAACAATCGATTATACATTTAATATATATGATTTCAAATATCCATAACACACTTGGGCTATAAATTCCTACCACTAAACAATGAGATTTGTATCAATTCCTCATGTTTGCATGAATAATCATGTACCACATCAAGAATGTTGTAGTAAAAGGGACAATATCTTAGGAATTGGTAAGTCTTTATCTATGTTTCATAAAGACCTCATTGATGCAAGTATTTATGGATGCTTCATAGCTTTAAGCTTCTTGTGCACTTGCTCTATCTTTAATGATTGGGCTACCTCCATGTGTTGCATTATTTATAGAAGAATAAAAGTAAGTATACTAAAAAAGAGAAAGCAAATAAAAAGGAAATACTACTTGGAACCTCAATATAATATAATATACTAATAGAATATCGCTATAACAAAATCCTAATGTAGCTACATGCCTCACATATGATATTGGCCCAAGCTAAAGAAATAAAGAGTGTGACAACCTCTTAGAACAAAGTCTCATGTAGTTTATCCCTATAGAGCTATCAAGTAGTAATATACAAATAACATATATTATTATGAAATATATAAAAACCAATTTGTTTGATATCATATTGCATTAAGGGGTTGTTTGGATACATGATTTATCTGGATTTGAGAAGGATTTAAGCTAAATCCTTCCAAACAGGATTTAGGGAAATGTTAAATGTCACAACACGTTAAATCCTATATTTCCATCTTTTTTTCTGTAAATCTTGGATTTACTAAATCTAGGAGTTTGGTGAATTTACAGGAATTGGCTGAAGAAGCACTTAAAAGGGAGAATAATCGTTTCCTTCATAACGAGCAAGCTCTCGTCATCTTGGTTCCTTAAGATCCAACAAAAGAATGGCGAGAATGTGTAACTTTGGATCCGACATGAAGGAATGTCGTCAAAGGAGGCAAAGAAGTTATTTAGCGACGCGTTCAAAAATACCTCTCATGCAATTCAAATAACAATGAATAGCTAGAGAAGATGAGATGCAACCCTAGCAACCAACCGGCAGCAGAGGTGAAGTCAAAGAGCAAAGTGAAGTTGAAAAGGAACAGAGGGCAGAGAAACAAAGTCGAAGAGCAGAACAAACAAATGAAATTGATGCATAACCAATTGATTAGATAATGTCAGTTTGCGACAAATTTATGGCGGCGTAGCGTCGGCTTTGAGGTGAAACTTTTTGCTGCAAAGGTCATCCAAAATTTTTGACAAAAATTCTTGCTGTAAATTTGTCAACATTTTTAACAAACAATATTCCGCTGTAAAATCCATCGGAAACTGCCGACTTTCCTATAGTGGGAGTTGACTAAGGGCATTTAAGATTGTCCTCTATCTAGAAATGTAGAAAGTTTGAATATATGATAATGGAATATAAGTGTTAGTAACCTTAATTCATGTGTGATGATATATGAAAACCTTTTGGAAGTGGTTTGCAATTATAAATAATTCAGGAGGCTACATTGTTCTCTTTGAAAGTTTGAGGCTAGCTTTTTAGAAGTGGTAATAGCTACACCAAGGTTTTAGACTTTTTGGTGTCTAATTTTATGTGGAGCTTAAGGGAAGATTATGAGAAAATTATCATGAGTATTCCTGATTATAATTCATATAGAATTTAGGGAAATTTTATATAAGAGTTCTTTCATATTGTAGTATGAAAATTTTGATGTATAGAGGGCAAGATTATGAGAGTTTTAATAGAGCTTTTTAAAATGAGAGAGTAGAAAAAATGAAAGTGTAGGAACTTAAAGTGAAGTTTATAATACTTTAAGAAAATGGAATGCAACTAAAAGAAAGAAAACACATTAAAAAGATAACAATAAAATAAAAGTCTCTCTCTAAAGAGGATGATTACATATTACCACACCAAGAAAAAATAATAATTGAATAAGCCTTTTCCAAGGAAGAAGGATGTCTTGTCCAAATTTAATTTTAATTTATAAAAAGAATTATTATATTAGATATTCCTTCCTATTTAAAAGTGCATAATTATTCCTATTAAAGATATTACAAAAGAGAAATAGAAAAAATAATACAAATCATTTATGGGAAAAATGTATGTAATGCTCATCAATTTATGAAAAGCTCTTTATTTTTGATAATTGTTATGAAATTATTATTGTTATTATGAATGAATATTATTGTCATAAAGTTTACATCACAATCAACCAACTATGAAAAAATATTTTGGCTATCTTGATCAAATCTTGAGCGATCAATGATGATTTCAATCACTATGAAGTCATCAATTTAAAAACCCTCATTAGGAAAAATTATTCCGTCAGGTTACCTGACGTAGAGTTACATCAGGTAGCCTATAATATGTCGCCACGTGCACTTATTCTTTACCGCACGGCCCGACGACCCGACCTGGAACGGACCCGGGAGTTTGCGTAGCTCGGTATTGGTCGATTTTGCTCTACAAAAATGAAAAATACTATTATGTGAAGACCAATACCTAGTTCAATACCGATCAATACCGAGTTCTTTTAGGTATTGCTCGGTATTGCTCTTGACATAGCGGTATTTCTCGTTATTGCCAAGCAATACCGAGTAATGCCTAGCAATACTGAGCAAATACCGAGCAATACGCGAACATAGTAATCCCGGATTCGGTCCGAGTCGGGTCGTCGGGCCGCACTGTAAAGAGTAAGTGCACGTGACGACATATTATAAGCTACCTGATATAGCTCTACGTGAGGTAACCTAACTGAATAATTTTTCCCTTTTCTAAAGGGCCTTAGACAAAATCTAGAAAGAAGGAACATGAAAAATTTGGCCTTTCTTCTCTCTTATTTTCTTTTTGGATATAATATAAGGATGAAAGGTCGGATACTTTATTAAGTCAAGAAATCAAGCAATCATTTAATTATATCCATCCCCTTCTTGTTATGGGCTGTCCTCTTTTGTTTACATCATTTAGTAATAGAGCTAAAAGTTTGTACATCTAATATTTAAATATTTGTTTACATCTTTATCATTTGAGAACATTAAATATTTAATTTAAATTTTGAGTAAAAATAAGAATAAGCTAATAATAATATTGAATCAGGGATGGAATCATGAAGAGCTCAAAATGGATAATTATTCACCCTAAAACTTTTTTTCTTATAAGAATAAATATTTCAACTATTTTATTTAACTTCAATAAATGCAATTAGTCAAATTCTAAGAAAAAAATTACTTTTTATATTTTATATTATTATTATTATTATTTTGAGACATTTATTTTATATTATAGATTATATATTTTATTAAAATAAGCCATTAATTTGACTAATAGAATATTTTAGGATAGAATTTTAAAAAATTTAAATTATATTTATATATAAATTTAACGTTAACGTTTTCTTTTAATGACATTAAAGTGTAGCATACCTAAATAGCGCTAATGTTAAACAGCTTAAAAGTTTATTCAAAACGCAGAAGTTGCAACGCGACTCCACTGGGGATCGAACCCAGAATCTCTGGTTCCGTAGACCAGCGCCTTATCCATTGGGCCATGGAGTCACAATTGGTCAAGCGAGCTAAACAATTTAATTTAAACAATTATATATAACAGCCCTTTTTTATAATAAAATATGCAATTTGCTAACAATATGCAGTTTTTAATAGTTATAAGAGCAAAAAAAAAAAAAGTCTTACTTTAAAAATAAAAAATTTAAGTATATTGAAAGTGGCCCTTCTCATTTGATTATGAAGGTTTCATTTGAGACAACTTCTTTGTTGCTTTCTAAATTTTTTTTTGTTAAAAATTTTTTAATTTAAGAAAATTTGGTACTTAAATGCCGTTTTAAAAAGCAACAAAGAAACTGTCTCAAACAAAGCCTAACTTGATGTGAATACATTTATTAATATATTATAATCAATTAGAAGCGTCGGAGCTTTCCTGAATAAAGTAAGCTATTATTATAAATCATGTATCATTTTGTATTATATATATTTCATTAACTTAAATGCTTTATTTAAATAATATTGAAATTATTAATTGTTAAAAAACTGTAAGAATTTAATTTAGACTATGATTGTCCTATTTAATTTATAATTTATAAATTAATGTATAAAGGCTTGTTCTGATTCTTCTGAACCTCATATTGAGAGTTAGAAAAATATCTTTTAAATATATTATAAATTAAAAATTACTTAATATATAAGATATTTTTAAATTATTTAAAATATTTTTATGTAATATAATAATCATTGGAGATTATTATTAAAATATTAAATATTATTGGTACATAACTAATATATATTTTAAAATAAAATACAACCACATATACCTATTAATTCTATTTTAACATTAATTTTAAATGTAAATAATTAAATAAATTTATTAAATTATCAAAGAATTTTTTAATTTTAAATATTTTTATTTAATTTTTAAAAAATTATCAATATATTGTATATATCTGCAATTAAACTAATTTAAATAAAATCTAGAATAATAGAATACCTAAGTGAACTAAAAGAAAGGCATTGCATCGTGACGCTCGCTACACAGATGGCCACGGGAACCTTATAGTGACAAATGTTAAATGAGATGCAGACAAAATGCAAATTAAATTCAGTTGCGGCCAATAGAATCATAGTATTTGATCAACTGCATTCTCAGCCACGACTTTAGATGCTAATGACACGTGTCGGCGTCGCGCTCTTCCATTCACGTGACCAAAACCCTTACCGGCCTTGGTCTCCTCATCTCTCGCAGGTTGGCGTCGCGTGCAGCTCTGGAAATCTCCGTCCCCAAATTCGCAGTGCATACTGGAAGATCAACTAGGCCCTGTTTCTCTGCTGAGAAATAGTTAGTTTGTCTACTTGTCCACACGAAGCTTCCTGTTTTAGGGCTCGCTGGGGAATCTAGTGGCTCTGAGATGGTAAAACGCTCGCCGATGACTCCAAGGGTTTGAGCTTCTTCAGACAGGAGATCCGTTGGCTTTTCCAAGATGATTAATTGGAACGACCAGGACCAGGTTTTGCATTTCATCTTCTTTCTCTGCTGTTTTGATATGAATTTTAGTGATCTTGTTGGCCATTTTGGAAGTAATTTGGCATTGGGTGCTGTGTGGTTGAGGATTTTGAGATTAGTTTTGCTTTTGTATTAAAGATGAAGGTTTGGACGATTGCTTGCCTATGTTTTTTTTTTTTTTTTTTTTTTTTTTTTTTTTTTTTTTTCTCTTTTGGTTTTTTTTTTTTTTTTTTTAATTATTTGATTTTCCCTTTGAGTGTATTTGAATTCAAGATGTAGTTTTGCGATCTAGATTCAGTCTTTACCCTGCTCTCTGTTCCTAATTTTAGGGGCGTGTTTTCTGGACTTAAGATAATTAGGGCAGCCTTTTGGATTTTTGGGGGAAGGTTGTGCCGTTCTACTTGTTCTTGATATTAGAGCTTTTCACGGAAGAGTTTGTTGAAATAGAATTTTACACGGGTGAGTGGCGCTTTATCAATTTAAAGCATGTACGTAAATGAATCTATACTTAGAGGTTTTGAGGAACTTAAATTTCTTGCCGTTCTTCAATCTGTGTTTATTACTACTTTACCAAAATTCTTGGGTGTTATTTGACACAGTTAACTTGCTCTTATAACGAATATGAAGCTTCTTAGGATCATCATTCAGCGCCTCATGTTTTTTATTTCTATGCGTAAGGGACATCCTTTAGCACCTTATACCTCACTTGTGAGTAAAATGATTATATTTCTTTATGACATATCATATATATATCATAAAGTAGTTGTACTGTGAGGTCTATGCAACATTACAAGTGTGCTAATCATGTGGAACGAAAATTCATTCTGCATAAAATCTTAACGAGATATAGTTGAATCTTTTGTATAAATAGAAATATTTGACTAACTATTCTTTTAGTTATGAGAATATTTTAGAGATCTTGCATTCATATGAGCATTTTTTAAATATTATTTGTTGATTTTGAGAGATCATGTGAGATTATTTATACATTTTTGAGAGATAATCAATATATTATGAAATATTGTAATTAATTCTATGTATTCAAATACATTCATTGTGACCATTGAAAATAGAATCTTAAAAGGAAGGTTTGACATCTCATAATCATAAGCAAATGGATGAAAGAGGGACAAAAAGGGAAAAGGGATTGTGGATCGAGAGATAAGGTAAGAGATTTTCGAGAGCTTGCAAGAAGGAGATCTTCTGCTTATTCAAGAAAAAGGAGGTGATGCTAGTTTCAGTTTCATCAAAAGGAGAATATTTCAATCATAATAGTGAGAATCTTTTGTTTGGGCTTCTTCAACAGAGAAGGGAAGAAAGTAATAACAACAATAACAATGGCTTCCTTTCTATGTATGACCCTCATCTTCACAATAGGTGATTGCTTTCCCTCTCATTAATTGACATTGATTATGTGAAATATCTATTCTTATATCCAACCTTATATGAAGAGAAATTATTGATGTACTCCTCTTTTTCTTAGTAGAATATTTAATCTCTAAGAGTTTCCTGTGTCAGAACAAAAACAAGAAACACCATAAGAGACTTAGAAACAATTTGAGCCTAACACACCTATGACCAAATCAAAAGGTGTTACACCCATTTTAACCCTTTCCTATCAATCATGAGACGTAGCTATCGCGACCCGGCTCAGATGCTCGATTTAACGAGGCAAGAACTAAAAGTCGGACGGTAGGATCTAATCTTTTTAGTTCATAAACAAAACAACATTTAAAACATCAAATTCTCTTTTCTTATCCGAAGAGCCACTAACAAAAAATTCTCAAAATACTTAACATTTATCTCAAATCATAATTACCTGTTATCAGTTGCACGTTGTCTTCTATAGAAGACTCTTTTCTTTCTGCCATTTCTAAATCTTTGGAGACTACATGAAATATTTAATTAGTGGAATGAGTTTACATAGTAAAACTCAGTGGGTAATTGTTAAAACAATCAATATGAATATTCTTTATTTACAATACACCTATAATTTTTAATATGCATCTTATCCTTTCCTATCTTTATTTCATTTATTTCAATTATTTATAAATATCCGATCAGTTTCCTTTAAAACATTATAAAACTTTAATATTTATTTTTCCCATTTAATTCGTACAGGAGCACCGTCTAAATGTACTCAAAGGTACGACCATTTTCATTTTTCCATTTTCATTTTCATAATCTTTTCCTTTTACGTGCACGAGTACGGCGTCCCCAACCAGTTCTATAAGGGGGTGAACTCCTGTGATTTGCATGCATATCCTTTTCCTTTCTTTTTCATTTATTTTGAATCTTTTTATTCATTTTCATATGTCATTTCTTTGTTTGCATAATTTCTTAATACATACATGTATCATATAACATCAATTTTCACTCATAAACACAATTTCATTCATGTTATTTCATTCCTTTTGTTTTATGTTGTAATGATATTTACATTCATTTATGCATTTAAACTTTCAACATTTCACACATGATCGTCTCTAAAAAAAATAAAACCTTTAAAGCAATATTATGATACGAAACACTATATCATATTTGAAAGAATAAAATAAAATATTGAATTTCATAATTATAATTACACACTTTGATTCTCCTCCTCCAATATTCGTCTTGTATTGAAATCCTTTTAACTGTTCACACGAATATTAAAAATTAATTAATATTAAATCTCAATTTGAATGACTCAACAAACATTGGATTCTTCCACATGAAATTACCTTACAAAATTTTCACTTTTTTCATCGTTGAGTCTTTGTTGAAATGAACTCTTACAACTTGGTCTCTCCCTTTAAATTTCTAAAATTAAACAATAAAAAATCAGTAAACTTGCTTACAGCCCCAACTACTCCTTACCCTTGCATTAATTCACAATTATAATCTATGATGAGCTATACGCTCACTAGGATAAACAATTCTAATACAAAATTCAAACATATAATAAAATAATATAGCATGCTATGTTGATCATATGAACTGATATGAGCATATATCTTCATATATTTAACTAGGTCACTGCAAGCCTTTTAAGTTTAAGACCTACTTTGATTATTTGATAAAATAACAAACTTAATTATAACAATGAACATGAATATATTTAATATAGTGAAGTATATCTATAAAGTGTCAAATCGATAAATGCACTATACTACTAATTGCTAGTATGAAATTACTTGCGTTACTCTCATTTTCATCTCAACTTATACTATTTTTTTCTTAGAAATGTCATTTAATATTTGTGTATACTTTTGAGATATTTATATCATTTGGTCATCACTTAGTTCATCAGCTTTAATGATCATGGATAAAATTTTGTTAGCTTAAAATTTGATTTAAGGTAGATATTCCAAATTCTAGAATCGAGAGTCGAGAATCCTTTTTATTTCTATGCTCAGGTTATCATAATTTGCTAACCTATCTCACATGATATGACTTTTCATGGATTTTTAATTTTATTTTTATATTATTTTCATGAGTATTTAAAACTGTTTAACATTAAAATATGCATGTTATCAATTTGCATGTATTAACATGTATCAAAAGTGAAGCATAACATATGAAATTCAACATTTAAATATTTAAGTTTGCCTCATATTTAATTAAACAATATTATTGCTAAAGTGAAACAAAATTATCATGAAATTTTCTTTGAACAGGTGATCATATAAATGTATTGACTTTTGGATAATATGTGTTGTTAGCATGCCTAAATTCTATACTCATAGACATAACAACTAAATGAAATATGCAAGGATTTACAGTTAATAGGTCTATATGGATAAATTGCCCTTTATATTAGAGATAAAGTATCTCACCAAAATTACTATATTTTTCTGGGGATGGATCACCTTGCACTCAACGACCCCTGAAACTTTGATCTTTTTTATACAATCTAATAAAAATATTACATTTCTTAATTAAAATCAATTTCTTTCTTAACAATCCACTTGTATATCAAATAAACTCAATACTTTCTTCTCATTTAAGCCTTTTAAACATAAAATTCGAAGCCAAACTTGGTTATGTTGGAGAAGCTACAAAAATCTGGAAGTTTCTTACCAAAACTAAGCTTTCCTCCTCTCCTCTATTTCTTCCTGTTCTTCTCTTTGTCTTGCTTTCCTCTTCAACTTCTCATTTTTCTTTTCTTTTTTTCTTTCTTTTCTCCTCTTCTTCCCCAAGCTTGGAGTACTCGCAGCTTTTATTGTTTTGGAAACTAAAGGATTTACAATATAAGAGTTATTGAGAAAAGAAACCAAATGATCCCCTGATTCTTTATGAAGGACTAAAATGGTCTACAACTATATTAAATGATCATTTTGATCCCTCAAGTCTCTAAAAAGAAATCAAAATAGTCCTGTGGTGGGACTATTTTAGATTCTCTTTAAGGAGTTGAGGGACCAAAATATTTTTTTAATATAGTTGAGAACTATTTTGATCTTTCATAAAGAGTCAAGGGACCATTCTAATTTTGTTCTCAATAGTTAATGTTATTTAGGTTATATATATATATCAATATATAAGTGATGATCATAAATTCATTTAATATAATTTAAAATTAAAAAATCATAAACCTTTCAGTAACATCCACCCCTTGAATTTTGTGGAAAGTGTAGGAAAAATATTTGCTACAGTAAATTAGTGGCTTAAGCAGATCATTAAATAAATGAGTACTATAATTAAATACTACAATTAAGTAAATTAATCTATAATTGCTATTATTTTGATATTTATTTGTATACTTCTATATATAAAAATAATTGCTTCAAAATGTATAATTTTATAATAAATTTATTGATCATTTTTTTGGGATATGTGAAAAAAAAAAGATTAATTGTTTCTAGAAAAATTTAAATGTACTTTTTAAAAAAATTTAGATATTGCATCTAGCTATAATATATGAAATTTAAAATGCAAGATTGTAAATACAAGAAAGTAAAATGTGAATATAATGCCAATCGCATCCACATGCCCACATCTCTTTGAAAAAAAATATTAATCTCTATTTTGCATAATAATATGTAGAGAAGCTTCATTCCATCATTTGCTTCAACAATGGCAATGGGAACCGCTTCTTTCATTACTCCTAACAATTGAAATCACTCTTTTGATTCCGTTAGTGTAAGAAGAATGGGTAAGTGCACCTCTCCAAATCCTCTTAAAAATTTGATGTTTACTAAACAAGGAGAAAATAATAAAAATGATCCATTGACTCTTTATGAAGGACCAAAATGATCCTCAACTATATGAAAAGACTATTTTGGTCCCTCAAGTCCTTAAAGAAGAATCAAAATAGTTCCATTATAGGACTATTTTGGTTCCTCTTTGTTAAAACTAGAGATTTGATGTTAAAACTAGAGATTTGAGAGGAGAAAAAGACATACTTTCATTCAGTAATATCTTCCCTATTTATAGATCTACACAAGATATCTTAACGAGGAAACAATAAATTATAGATT